CACAGGAACACATCCAGGGGGGGCTGGGATGTCTCCAGGGATGGAGACTCCACCACCGCCCTGGGCAGCCTGTCCCAGGGCTCTGCCACCCTCAGAGCAAAGAAGTATTTTGTCATATTCAGGTTCAACCTCCTGTGCTCCAGTTTGTGCCCATTGCCCCTTGTCCTGTCACTGGACACCCCTGAGAAGAGTCTGGCCCATCCTCCTGACACCCCCTGCAGATATTGATCAGCACTGATCAGATCCCCCCTCAGGCTCCTCCTCTCCAGCTGAACAGCCCCAGCTCTCCCAGCCTTTCCTCACAGGCAGATGCTCCAGTTCCCTCAGCATCTCAGTGCCCTGGGCTGGACTCTCCCCAGCAGCTCCTTATCCTTCATGAACTGGGGAGCCCAGACCTGCACACAGGGCTCCAGAGGAGGCCTCACCAGGCAAAGCAGAGGGGCAGAACCTCCCTGACCTGCTGGCCTTACTCTTGATGCACTTCAGGATGGCACTGGCCTCATGTCTGTGAGGACACATTGCTGGCTCATGGTCAGCCTGTTGTCCACCAGGACTTCCAGGCCTTTTTCCCCAGAGTTGCTCTCCAGCAGGTCACCCCCTAACCTGTACTGGTCCCTGGGGTTCTTCTTCCCCAGACACAGCACTCTGCACTTGCCCTTCCTGAACCTCATTAGATTCCTCCTTGCCCAGCTCTCCAGCCTGTCCAGGTCACACTGGATGGCAGCAAAGCCCTCTGGAATGTCAGTCAACCCACCTGGTTTTGTATCATCATAAATAGTCATTTATTCTTATTTATAACTAATTCAATCATAATAATAAAATACTAATAAGCAATAAAACACAAAACCACACCTGACAACTCCCCAAGCTCTGCCAGGGGATGAATTTTAACCCACCCTGGAGACCTTCAGGGGCTCCATTTCAACCTTACAGCCTGACAAAGACTAATGATGAGGAATTAACAGTGAAGAAGACAGAGCAGGAGAAGAGGAGATACTTACACATTGACATCACAGACATGGCAATGATGGTTTTCAATGACATGTGCATGTTGACTACGACTGAAGGTGGCCAGAGGCCCCAGGTAGTTTTTCTCTCTCACGTTTGCATCTGCAGGGTCAATGGAGACTGCAGTAAGATGGACAATTAAATGGTAGATAAAGCAGACCCCAGGACACTGGAGTAGACAGTTAAGGATTGTATGAGTGATTTAATGCACATCTTTTTGATCCTCTATACACCCAATCCACATGGATGAGAAATACATGGCTTAGAATTAGAAATCACGACACAACTGATGGCAGAACCTTCACCTGAGCTTCACTCCAGGGGATGTTTGTGCTGGAATAAATATCCTCTGGAAAAATAGAACTACAGGAACAACCCTCCTTTTTGTGTACTACTCTGCCTCCCAGAAACATCCTTCCTAGCAGAGGAGTTTTGGAAAAATTACCTTGGCTCCCCAGGGTCTGCCCCCAGGTGCAAACTGCTGGCTCAGGTCCACGTTTCCTAGTCCATACTCCTTGGAAAGCAAGAGTCAGTTAAGGCCACACACACCCCTTCACAAGACCAAACTTCCAAGAAAGAAGAAGAAAGTCACACTGAGGAAGCTGTAGTGATCCCCTTGCTTTCCTTTTCCTTACTCAGAATCCCAAGCTAGAGGATCACCCCTGTAAACCAGATTCCTACCTAATTTACAGACAGGATGCAGGATTTTTTTCATGGTTGCTTGAAATATGATCAGCTTGGATTCCTAATTCTAAATGCAGCAGCAAGTCAAGAGCAAATGTGCTTTAGAAGTACCTCAAATAACTGCTGATATTTGGGAAGAATATCCAAATCTGGAAGGATATACAAAAGCAAATAAGCAACTCTGTAGGCCTGGAGCACCTCTGGGCTGGAGAGTTTACTTCTCAATGTACTGCAACTAAAGGAGCAGCATGTCTACAAAAACTGACCTGCTGGGTTATTTGTTGCACCCTAGGTGTGCACATCACTGATCACACTAATGTCTGTGGGACACTCAGCAGAGCAGTCAGGGGGAAAGGTTCTGGAGAGGTGTAGCTGATGAAGATAGGCTGGGAAAGTTGGGGTGTTCAGCCTGGAGAAGAGAAGGCTCCAGGGAGACCTTAGAGCACCTTCCAGGGCCTGAAGGGGCTCCAGGAAAGCTGGGGAGGGACTTGGGACAAGGGCAGGGAGGGAGAGGACAAGGGGGAAGGGATTAAAACTGGAAGAGGGGAGATTGAGGTGAGACATGAGGAGGAAATTGTTTGGTGTGAGGGTGGTGAGAGCCTGGCCCAGGTTGCCCAGGGAAGCTGTGGCTGCCCCATCCCTGGCAGTGTTGAAGGGCAGGGTGGATGGGGCTTGGAGCAACCTGGGCTGGTGGGAGGTGTCCCTGCCCATGCAGGGCGTTGGAACCTGATGGTCTTTAAGGTCCTTTCCAACCTTCACCACCCTGTGATTCTGATTCTACCTGGTGCAGCAGGATGGGAAGGGATTTGCCTTTGACACAAAAGAGATGTTTAACTGGTACTAAAGCTTTGGGAGGCATGAATCTGTTGAATTAGAGAGACTTCAGATTGAGTGATGAAGTGACCTGGTAAACAAATTCCTGAGGTTTGAACCATGACAACATCAGGATAGGACAGGTAGATGCAAAACCACTGTGAGCTAATCATTTTAATGCCTAAATCCCACTGGTGTTACTAAAACAATAAGCCAAAGCATCCCCAACATATCAAAGGCTCCATGGACACACATAAATGAGATGTATAAATGATTGATGTGCATATCCCACCCCTTCAGAACTTTTCTCTTTACAATTTCTTGCTTATCTGGTTTTTAGGAAGCACTAAGTGGCACCAAACCATTCTAATCCATTGTATCTTCACCAGGAAATGTTACCAGAGAGATGACAAAAGCAAATTATATGCTCACCAATTCTAAACCCTCAGCTGCTTGTGAAGTTCTAAATACACATCTCCAGACACCCTCTTCCAGGTGGCCATTCCCTGGGCAATCTAGTCCACCAGGAGCAAGGGCCTGGCTCTGGAGAAGTCCCCTCCCTGGGTGCAGGTGGCAGGAGGAGGTGGCACTGGGAGGACTGGGATTGCTCCCAGCACACCCCTCCTTCCCAGCTGCAGAAGTTGCACAGCTCTGGGGAGGTGGGTGCAGGACAGGAGGTGGAAAACACATGGAGCTGGGCTGGGCTTTTCTGGGAAAGATGCAGCCATCTCACCTTCTGATCCCAGCCACAGCTGGATGTGAATTAAACTTCACTGCCTCATGACAGACCTCTCCTCTGAGGTTCACCCCACACCACCTCACCTTCCACTCACAGATTTCCCACAGACGACAGGAGAAGGTCCCAGGCAAAGATCAGCTGTCCCAACCAACCCCACCGTATTGTGCCAGCCATGCCAAGCTGCCTTTCAGGACTTGGTTGGTGAAGACAGGGAGGTGTGGTTGTCCATCACAGGATGGTTCAGGAAAGGCTTCCCTCAAACTCTGCAGTAGTCTTGGAGAAGAATCATATGAGGCCATGGAAACCCATGGGAGCAGAGAGCAGAAGAACCTGGGAGGTAACAACAGTAACCTGAGCAGAGAGTGATGGAGAGAAGCAGAACATCAGTGACCTACGTAGAGTGGGAGGGCAGAGAAGATCCCAAAATCATGGTTTTTGTATGCAGAAGATCAAGACAGCGACTATGGTTCAGAGGAAATTCTGGCTGAGTTGCTTTCTATGCTACCAACTATTCCCAAAAATTCCCAGGTGGTTTCTTAGGGTCCATGTTCATCCCTTGAGCAAAGGATACAATGTAACCAGCAGGCAACCAGTGCAGGGGCAGGAGAGGAACCAGGATTCCAAACCCAACGAGGGCAAAGAAGAGGTAGAGCAACCAGGCAAGGATCTGGAAAATGTGGAGAGGCCAACTCCAGCCATTCCTTCGAGCATGTTGGACCTGCACCTCAGGAACAGCTTCTCCCAAGTTCTCTGGAGCTGTCTTATTAGGAGGCTTATTGCAGATATTCATCTACAGAAATCAAAAAGTGGAGAACAAAACAAAAATATGTGATACAAAACCAGGGTGACTGAGCCCCAGACCTGGGGAGAGAAAGGTGGAGAGACTGAAATGATCTGAAGAGAGACTAAATTGACTGAAAAGTGCCAAGGGGGTGTTTTGGTGGCAGTCCAGAGATGGAGGATGATGTGCTGTGGCCTGGGGGGGGTGCTCATGCCAGAATGTGGTGGATGAGGACAAGGGGGAATGGATCAAAACTGGAAGAGGGAGTTTTAGGTTGGACATGAGGAGGAAATTCTGTGCTGAGAGGGTGGTGAGAGCCTGGCCCAGGTTGCCCAGGGAAGCTGTGGCTGCCCCATCCCTGGCAGTGTTGAAGGGCAGGTTGGATGGGGCTTGGAGCAGCCTGGGCTGCTGGGAGGTGTCCCTGCCCATGCAGAGGGGGTGGGACTAGATGATCTTTAATGTCCTTTCCAACCCAAACCAGTCTGGGATTCTATGAAGGCAGAACAAACAATTCCACCTGTCTCAGATGTGCCAAGGTTTTCTTCCAGCTACCTTGGAGAAGTGCAGTGAGATCAGGTGCCCCCACTGGAGCACAGGGTCTGGAAACACTACCTAGTGCCACCCAGCATCCAAGAAGACACAGACTCTTTGTCAGCCACAAAGGAAGTTGGAAAAACTAGAAATTGAACAAGTGAACTGATAATTTAAAGGCAAAATAGGGAAAAGTTACCCCAGAACACAAGTGTAAAGCAGACTGTTCCTAGAAGGACAGAATACAAAAATTCCATCTGCAGGACACCCATGCCTGGTGATTCAGCTGTTCCACAGGGTCTGGAGTCCTGGCAGGAGAAAGGAAGATGCAACTGCCAGGAGGAGTTACAAACCATAACCTGGGAAGCTCTTGATGTTTGATTCCTGTCTGCACAACAGCTCCGAGCTCACAAGTGATGTCTCCTCTTTCCAGCTGGTGTTGGATCATTCCTTGGTGCTTTTCACTTGCCCCAGAGCCAGGATGAGCTTTTAACACCAGAGTTGGGCTGCTCAGCTTCATGGAAAACTCAAGATACTGGGGAGCACAACACAGGTAAAACCAGCACTAAGCAGCTCTGCTGGACCTGGGCTGACCTGAGGTACCTCTGCCTCATGCTCACAGCTCCTTAAGTGACTAAAGAGCACATGAAATGAACATCTAACAGGAATTAGGAACTTCAGTTCGTCTGATGACTTGGACATGAGGGTGCTGAAAGGAAAGGAGGAGGGTTTCTAGGTCACTTGTGGTGTTTTTGAGAATGGTTCCAGTAGCAGAAAGGTGCCCAAGGGCTGGAAGACAGCAAAGGTGCCAACATGCTGAGAAAGAGAGCAGAACAACTCACCCCTGGGCACACCAACAGTCCTGCACCAGGCCCAGGCAAAAGGCTAGGACTGTAGAGAAGCAGGGTGTAAGAACAGAAAATAATGCAATTTATGCTCATCAGCACAGTCATAAGACAAGCAGGCTGGAAAAAAAAATAAACAAATAAAAAAATCCTAACTTCAGTCTTTGAAGAAGTGAGTGGGATCTGCCTGCATTCACAGCTCAGGCTGTTTGATGGGAACTGGCTCCTCAATGATGAGAAACAGCTACTAACAACCAGATAATCTTCTCATGGGGTTGCTCAACACTTGCTTGTGCAGCACTTCGAGACACCTGTTACCAAAGCCACTCAGATCATCTGAAGAAACCCCCAAGTTTCTCCTTCTTCTGACAAAAACCATCCCTGGCAGTGTTGAAGGGCAGGTTGGATGGTGCTTGGAGCAGCCTGGGCTGGGGGGAGGTGTCCCTGCCCATGCAGGGGGTTGGATCCTGATCATCTTCAAAGTCCCTTCCAACCCCAACCATTCAGTGATGATTCTATGATGATGAAAAAGCCCGGCTGGGGGAGCCAGACCCACCCAGAGCCTGGAACCCCCACTTCCCTGCAAGAACTTTGCTGTTCTGTAGCACCAGGTGCTTTAAACGTCGTTTCACGTTAAAAGTTTTTCACGCAGCGAACAGTGACAACCCCCAGGCCCCTCCTGGCTGAACCACCAGGCTCTCCAGAAGGAAGAAAGCCCCGTTTGGGGCAGAAACTCCTCCTGCCTTTCCCTGACA